GAAAGAAAGAAAGAAAGAAAGAAAGAAAGAAAGAAAGAAAGAAAGAAGAAAGAAAAGAGAAAGAAAGAAGAAAGAAAAGAGAAAGAAAAGAGAAAGAAATAAAAGAAGAAAAGAAAGAAGAAAAGAAAAAATTAAAACAATAAAAAGTTTAGTGTACAGCTGTCAGTCTGCAGCTGCCACCCAGACACAGAGGACATGAGATGAGGATGCCTTACTGATAAAAGGTATCAAGGCACGTGGCTAACACAAACAAGAATTATGGGTTAACGTAATAATAATGAGTTAAGAAGAAGTCTGAGCTAACAGGCCAACCAGTTTATAGTTAATGTAAGCCTCTGTGTATTTCTTTGGTACTGAACAGCTGCGGGACCAGGCAGAAAAGAAACCTCTGTCAACAAATAGCACTAATGTGGACAGCTACATCCACATAAGACCCTAGAGAGCTTGGGAAGTAATTCTAAACACAAAGGAATAGAATTAAGCAAGGTTTCTTTGTAGCAGCATTTTCTCAGGTGAGCTCTATTTGCTAGAGGCAAGCTCATCTCATTTAAGAGAGGTTTCCTGACTCAACTTTAGCTATAAAAACCTTGTTGCTCTTTTAAGAGGCCCCACCACCAAACACTTATATGGTGTTTATGAATAGCTGCAGCATACTAATTGGTGGTGGCAGAGTTCTGACAATAAACATGGCTCCCATTAGTACCTGGGCCATGAAGCTACACTCTCAGAGAGCTAAGGAATGGGGTGGATCCAGCTGTCAAAGCCATGACTTTAATCCTAGTCATATCACTTAGCAAATTTAAAACTCACGTAGTCAGAAAAAGAGATATACAGTAAAGATAGATTCAGATGAAAAAAAAGTCCTCTAAACAGTTTACAGTGTGTTTAAAAAAATAAATAGGCTCAAGAGAGAAAAGAAAAAGGATAAAGACCTTTAAAAAAAGAAAGAAAAAGATTAGTTGGGTGTGGTAGCACACACCTTTAATCCCAGCACTTGGGAGGCAGAGGCAGGTAGATCTCTCTGAGTTCAAGGACAGCCTGGTCTATAGAGTGAGTTCTAAGACAGCAAAAGATACACAGAGAAGCCCTGTCTCAAAAAAACCAACAAGTCTAAAATAAAGTCACATAAAGATGAAAAATACCCAGAGAATCTAGGTGCCGTATGTTTTTGTGCTGTCTTTGAATTGTTTGATAGCTGAGGAAGGAACAACAGTTGCTGAAAGACATTTGATTTTAAATGATGCTGGATTAATCCAACATGTATATTTTCAAAATGCCTTGCCTTCAAAATTTATGTCAAAAGATATCTTATTTTGGAGAAGAGTTTTTACTTTTGTTTCCACAGAAAATGAGAGGCTGTGGATTCATTCTTGGTTAAGAAAAATCAGGTTTGATCAAGAAAGACCCCCTGAGAAATCTCTGCTAGGAGCAGATGGCCCAGATGATCCAACATTTCAGAGGATCTCTGTTGGAGTTTCCCCTGAGTTCTACAGTCAGAACAGCATCAAGACTGCTGGCTGAGATGATCCAGCCTCAGAGAATACTCCAGTCAGGACTTGACCATAATCCTAAATTTTCTTTAGGTCCCCCCTAAGATTTCTTTAGGTACCCCTAACCAACAGGAAGTAGCCTGGAAAACTATGCCCACATTCCCCCCAAAATGGATTATGGATATTTGTCTTTGTTTAGAGTGTTGGTTACAAATTGTTATGGATAATGGTCAGAAAAAAAGTTAAACAAAGAAGATTAGATTCTGAGTTCTTGTTTTGAAAAGACAAAAGGGGGGAAGAGCTGTGGGACAATGGTTTTGTTCTTTGTAAAGATTTGCACTTATATTGGTTTAATAAAAAGATGGATGGCCAGTAGCCATGTAGGAAGTATAGGTGTGGTGACCAGAACAGGAGAATTCTGGGGAGAGGAAAGGCTCGGTCCAGACACAGAGGACATGAGATGAGAATGCCTCACTGATAAAGGTACCAAGCCACATGGCTAACATAGACAAGAATTATGGGTTAAGATGTAAGAGTTAGCTAATAAGAAGCCTGAGCTAATAGGCTTATTGGTTATTTATAATTTATAAATAATTTATAAACCAGTTTAAAATTAATGTAGGCCTCTGTGTGTTTCTTTCTAACTGAACAGCTGCGGGACCGGGTGGGACAGAAACCTCCATCGACAGTGAAGGTGAGTGAACTAGCTCAGCAGATAAAGACCTGTGTGGTGGCAGAAGAGGCCCGACTCCTGCAAGTTGCCTGCTGTCCTCCACATATGCATCTTAGCAGCCACTCATTATTCCTCACCTCTGACACAAACACAAAAAATATAATTCAACATTTTTTGAACTGTTTGATGAAATAATAGCTGTTGAATTCATGAATCCATGAACGACTTGATGTGTGAATCAAACAGTGGCAGGAAGTAGGAAGATGCTGTGATAACAGGGAAGGGGGCTGCTCTGGGAAATGTGAACCAGATCAGGAATGCAGAGGTACAGAAGGGACAGGCAGTGTGGCCTGTGCTCCTGCAATGTTCTTAGCATGAGAACCGTGAAAAAAAAAAATGTAACCCATACGTACTCTACATCTCAGGGTGGGCACAGTAGTCTGTGCTTTACCAATCTCTCAGAGTTAGATTGTGCTGTACATTCCATGCTAATGAAGGGTTTCAAGTGTGAGTGGTCTTTGTTCTAGGATCTCCAGGCAGGAGAATATATCTAAAAGACAGTTTATTATGTCTAACTCAAAAAGGACAATTGAAGTTCCTGGTTGCAAGTTGCATGCTACCTGTAATACATAGGATACCCCAATTCAAACAAAACATGGAAATAATAGATAACATACTATATTGCCAACTGAAAAGTTGACAATTTTATTTTTCTAATTTCAAATATTATCCACATAATAACTTAGGTCAGAGTGGAGTAGACATGGCCAGGCAAGGGCTTGGTTTGCAGAGTCTAGGAAAGATGAGTTTCAGTGGAAAAGAGACCTCGGCATCCCTGAACAGGTCAGCAGTGGGCCTCTGCCTGCAGAACACACTGGGGTGGGGGCTGGGTCACATTTCCTGGAGGAGACAGGAGCTTCCAGGGAAACGTTTATCCTACTGGAAAAACGAGTCAGGATGGAAAGACTGGAGAGAGATTGTGTGGGACCCAGAGAGCAGGTGTGAATGACTGAGACTGTTAAAATGAGACATCCAGATGCGTAAGGGGATAGGCATCCCAGGTGCCTACACTGAGGGCCTGTCCTTTGCTCTGGGGCGATTATAGGCTTACTCCAGCACACATAACTGAGAAAGAGTTGGACAGTCTCCATCAAAGAAGAGTAGCTGGTCACTGCATGACTGGGGAGGAGCATGGTACAAGCATAAGGATCACTGCAGTTAATCTTGATTGTCCAAAGGTCTGGGAGCCCGTTCAGAGGTAATGGGTCTGTAATCCCACCCCTCAGGATGCTGAAGCAGAAAGGTTATTAGTTCTAGGTCAGTCTGGACCACATCCTAGACCCTATGCAAACAAAACAAACAACAAAAGATACAGGAAGAGAGTGAGAATGGAAGGAAGATGCTCAGGCCACACCCTAGACCTGCTGCCCCAGAACTGATCATTGCCGAGGGCCCTGGGTGACCTGTGTGCTCGTCGGTGGAACTGCCCTCGGAGGCCTCTACCCAACCAGCAGCATATCCCGGAAGACATCAAGGCGCTTAGAATGGCATTGTGCAGGTTGGTCAGCTCTGAAGCTAAAACCAGGTTGGCCCTCATGTGAGGCAGCAAGAAGATTATGCACATAGCCCAGGCAGAGAGAAGAGTAGATGGTGCCAGTTAGCTAAAAGGGGTCCCTGCCCAACACAGGCAAGTTAAGACTTGTAGGGATAGCCAGGAACTGTGCCGAGACTGAAGCTAGCAAGATGCCCTTACTCTGTTTCTAACGATTCTAAACTGATGTGGGCCGAAAAGGTGGGTTGGGTTTGGGAAAATGGAGCCATAAGTAGTATGGATAAATTTGAAGAGATTTCAAAAACAAAAGTAAAAACAAAAATCTTGCCATCACTCCAACATATAAAGATAGTTCCATTTTCTATTTTTCTTTACCTGGTCTGGTCTCCATAGGCCCCAGCTCTGGAACCTAGCAGAAACAATAAATATTTAATTAAGAGTTTTATTCTTCTCCAACCTTAACATAACTGGTTCCTTTTAAACCTTCATGCCAGTTGTTAAAGTCAAACATGCTTCCGAGTCACTCGGAGGGCTTGTTAAAACAGATTGTTGGCCTCCTCCTGGGGTTTCTGATTCAGTATATTTTGGGTGGAGACCTTGAATTTACATTTCTAATAAGTTCCCAGAAAGTACTGATATGTCTGGTCCACAGATTTCCTAAACCTCTAATGCAAACCATTCAGAGTTGAATTCTCAGGCACCAAGGGCAGTGTCTTAGTAAGACTTTAGAATGATGATTCTCAAACTGATCCAAATTTCCAGTTGGTCATGAACCACATGCGAGACACTCACCTGTGCCACAAGGAACTCGCCATGCCAGTTCAACACAGCTGAGCTGGGTTGTGTCCTGATCAACAACGCATGTCCTCTGAAAAAATACAAGGATGTCGTGGCAACATCAATCTGTAGTAAAAGTTTCTCCCCCACCCCTTTCTCTGTCTCTCTCTCCCACACACACACAGAAGTTTCTAAACATGAGTTCTTATATTTATCTTCAGACCAGTGACAGCGGACTGACACCACCTTTGAATGCTCAAGTAACCGAATTACAGGTCAGACAAGAAAATGCATGGTTTTGCTTACATTCTCAGCCTTCCATTTCCTTCTCATTCCCAGGACAGCATCTGGGTACCCAGTGGGAGCCGTATACCCTAATGACACCCATAGATTCCTCTGACTAGGCAACGATTTCTACTAGAGAGGGTGAATTTTTCTCCTTTTGGGTTTGGGTCTACTGGCCAGAGGCTCTGAGTCCATTGATGTATCCTCACCCTTAATAGGGAACAAGATACCCTTGAGCCCTTTTTCCCCATACAAAGCCATGTTGGGACAGGAATGTGTCCGGTGTACTATCCCTGTGTTAATGCTCAGACACACAGAAAGTAGTGCTGAGCCCCGAAAGCAGAAGATCAAAGGGGAATGCAGGCAGCTCAGAGGATTTTGCAAACACGCTCTTGAGGAGCCATTATTAAGAACTAAATAACCTGGAGCAGAGTCAGGAGGTCCTGAACAAATGCAGCACGTCTTCCTAGTAATTGCTATGCATTCGCTAATGTGTCTGCTTGGTGCGGTTCCACCATGCAGCTTGTACCACCTTTTTTCAGTGGCACAGCTTCCAAAACTTGAGCTACAAAGCCTTATAAGTCAGGGCTTTGCTGTTGGGGATATTATTTTAAGGTGTGCTGCTTTTGTTTATGCTGCATTTGTTTAACTCTGTGAAGCTGTGATTCTTTGCCTGTCTACAACACCTGATGATCTAATTAAGAGCTGAACAGCCAATAGCAAGGCAGGAGCAAGGGTAGGCAGGGCTGGCAGGCAGAGAGAATAAATAGAAGAAGAAATGAGGAAGAAGGAGAGAGAAAACAAGAAGAGGGGAACATCAGAAGCCAGGCACCCAGCTATACATAGCGAGCCACACAGAAAGAAATAAAGAAAGATATACAGAAATAGAGAAAAATAAAATCCTAGAGGCAAAAGGTAGAAGGAATAATTTAAGTTAAGAAAAGCTGGCAGGAAACAAGCCAAGCTAAGGCTGGGCATTCATAACTAAGAATAAGCCTCCATGTGATTTATCTGGGAGCTGGGTGGTGGGCTCCTCAAAAGAGGGAAGCATCACACAGCACTTCACCCTCTCTTACTCTTCTCCAAACCCCTCCAGTTATTCCACACCTTCAGCACCTCATTGCTTAGGGCCTGTGTCTCAGAAAGCAAGCTGTTCCCAGAGTGCTCTGGCTGTGGTGGTCTCTCAGGACCTGTGTAGATGTTGCAGCGCCCCTGCCCCGGGGGAGGACTGGCCTTAGGAGGAGGCATGTGGAGAGCGGGGCTCAGTTCTAACATCAGCTCAGCCGCTTACACTGTCTTTCCAGCTTCCCTACCAGAAGGGGCAAACGTGGAGCTTTCTGGGTTTTGTCAGAGCTTAGCCTTTTGCATGGCCTGCAATGACCGCTGGTTTTCTTCACTGAAATCTAGAAGCAATAGATTCAAGCTAAGGGACATTATACAAAATACCTGCCCAGGTTTCTTCAAAACTGTCAAAGTCATAGAAGATAAGAAAATGTCAGGAAATGACCGTATCACGAGGCCAGTTCACAAGATTGAGTATTGTGTCACAGCTCACACCAAGAGGAACAAACACTGCAGAGAGCCTGGGGAAGTGAGTGCTGATGCTCGTCCCTTGGTTTCAGTCCCTGTCCTCCACTATGAAACATAGAAATGTCAGATGAAGCACTCTGTGCTGTCTTTGTAACATTTCTAGAAATATAAAATGATTCTGTCTTAGGGTTTCTGTTGCTGTAAAAAGCCACCATGACAATGGTAACTCATTTTAAAAAAAAACATTTAATTGAGGGGGCCCTCTTACAGTTTCAGAGGTTCAGGCCATTATCATCGTGACAGAGAGCATGGCAGCGTGCAGGCAGACATGGGTGCTGGAGTCTTACAGCTTGTAGGCAACAAGAAATCAACTGAGACACTGGACAGTATCCTGAGCATAGGAAATCTCAAAGCCCACCCCCACAGTGACATAGTTCTTCCACAAGACCATATCCATTCCAACAAAACCACACGTCCTAGTAGTGCCACGCCCTATGAGATTATGGGGGCCAATTACATTCAAATAACCACAGATTTCAAATTAAAGTAAATGACAAAACTTGTGCTTTGGTAATAGAAAAGGCAAATTTCTTCTATTCTTTGGAGAGCTGCTTTGTAAACAGAAGTTTCTGTCTTGTCAGCAGCTCCCAAAGAAACACAGAGGCTTATTTTAATTACAAATGCTTGGCCAATAGCTCAGGCTTATTTTTAACTAGCTCTTACATTTTAAGTTAACCCATATTCCTTATTTATACTCTACCACATGGTGGTACCTTTATTAGCATGCCACATTCATCTCCTGCTCCCTTCCCATCTGGCTGGTGACTCCTGACTCCACCATTTTCCTTTCCATCATCATTAGTCTAGTTGTCCCACCTATACTTCCTGCCTGGCTACTGACCAATCAGCATTTTATTAAACCAATTCTATAATGCCATTTCACTTGTATTTTAATAAATAAAACTTGCCTGAGGATCAGAAAAGTAAAATGGCCACTCTGGCCAGCCTTATAGACCAGGCAACATTAACACGCACACACACCTTTAATCCCAGTAGCCACACTAGTTTGCCATAGGAACCAGACAGTAATGGTGCATGCCTTTAATCCCAGAACTAGAAAAGATTATAAAATGGGAAGAGACAGCTCACAGATACAGACAGTCTCATTCTAAGATTTCTGGAGGCAGCATCACCATTTCAGATTGAGGTAGAGGTAAGAGCCAGTGCATGGCTGTTTTCCTTTTCAGACTTTTAGGTTGAACCCTAATTTTTCTCTCTGAGTTTTTATTCCCTGTGCTTCACATTTTGAATAACAAATCTTTACAGTGAACAGAGGATTATCCCACAGAACTGCTCTGCAGCCACCTGCTTTGTGGGATGCTAAGAGGGGCAGAGAGGAATGGTGGAAACATCTTTTCCCTCTCAATAAAGTTTGGCTTTTGAGTCTTTATCTTTTTACAGAATAAAGTGTTCTGCTGGAATGTCATTGATCACATCTAACTCTTTCCAGTGGTTTTTTCTACAATCTTGCTGATGCTACTTTTTCCCCTGCATCCTGGGGGTGGATACCTCCAGGAAGCAAATGTGGTCACATGTGTAAAAAGCAGATTGGTTCAAGGAGAAGCAAGCCCTCAACTCGCAGAAAACAGGCCAGTGTTGATGTAATGGTGTCTCTTTCTACTGCAGAGAAGAGCAGGAAAACACACAGGTAACCAAGCAGGGCCTCTGAGCTCAGGCCCTTGTGCCCTTGGGATCTGGTGCAGAGGCACATAAGATGCAGTAGGCGTGGGGTAAGGTTCAATATCTGGTTTCCTACTGCAGGCCCCATAATGACAGTCATGCATGGCATAGTCTGGGCCTCTTCAGAGGAAGTCTGAAGGAGGAAAACACCTTCTGGTCAGAATCACAGGAAACAGCAAACTATACACCTGGTCAGTACAACACGAGACAGTAAAGTGGAAGCACACTCATCACACTTGTAAGGGTCGGCACAACAGGAGACGTTAAAGCAGAAGCACTCATGAAAACATGGGGGAATACTCTCATGGGAAAGGAAGGGAGCCAATGATGAGCCTGTCACAACCCTTGTTTTCCAAGTTTAAGTCCCAGCAGGGGTCCTTGGATCTACGCACTCACCCTGTTCCTGGGGAAGAGAATCAGGGTTGCAAAGTGCCAATTTCCATGAATCTCAGACCTCCTCAAACATTTCAACATGTGATGGTTTCTGAAAAGTAATATATCACTTTCCCACTGCATACAGTTAACCAATAGAATAAACTCTAAGGGGCTGAGAGATAAATCATGATTAAGAGCACCTGCTGCTCTTGCAGACCAAGTGTACATCCCCAGCACCACACGGCAGCTCACAATCACCTGTAACTCCAGTTTCAGAACACCCTGTCCTGTTCTCCATGGGCGGGGGTACACAGATATGCATGTAGGCAAAACACCCATACATACAGAATAAAAATAAAATTAAAGAAGAATAATCAATACAACTTTTAAAAAATGCTAGAAAAACAAAAGCATAATTTAGAATTTTAAACATTGCAACAGTATTAAGTGCCATGGTTACATGTGTGTAGTTTTAGATTTTAAATACTGCAACAGTATTAAGTGCCATGGTTACATGTGTGTAGTTTTTGATTCAAAACACTGCAACAGTATTAAGTGCCATGGTTACATGTGTGAAGTTTTAGATTCTAAACATTGCAACAGTATTTAGTGCCATGGTTACATGTGTGTAGTTTTACTTAGGCTCTTCCAAGGTAAAAATGTCAAGGCCATATCTAGATCCTATGGACACTCTGGCAATCTTTTTCATAATTTATTATATTGTGATAGCCTTGACCCCAGTACTCCTGACTTTGCTAATTGCATATCCATTCCTCTACCTCCTGTTTTCTATTCTCATCTTCCAGACTATATATGGGAAGATATTGCAGAATATAGAAATACTCTGATAAATAAAATGAGATCATGTATGCAGAGCCCTTCATCCTGATGACAGGGTCAAGTTCATAACAGATTTTCCTAAAGTCGCTGCCACCACTGTTCAACTTCTGTGAGCTTTCACTTCCTCAGCATCTCTTCAGGGATCAGTAAAATGTTTCCTCTTTCCTAGGTGCCAGTTTCTCCTCCTCCTTCTTTGTCTTCTTTTCCCTTCTTCCTTTCTTCTTGCTTTTCTCTTCCTCCTCCCTGGTGTGGAAGGTCCTTCTGTCTTTGTGTTGCTTTTATTGGTTAATGAATAAACAAACTGCTTTGAACCTATAGCAGGGCAGAACTCCATGACTTTGTCTTGACTCCGCCTCCTTTTCTCCCAGCATTCAGTTTAGTTTTCCCTGCCAAGCAGTGATTTAAATAGTATAGTTTCTGTGTGATTATTTCAATTCTGGGCTACCGGGATGAACAAGTGGCCTCCTTACTACACCTCCCCTTCTTCCTTCTCCCTTCTCCTGCAGACAGGATTTCTCTGAGTAGCACTGCCTGTCCTGGAACTTTTTGTATAGACCAGGCTGGCTTTGAACTCAGAGATACTTACGTAAGCTTCAGAGAAGGCCCAGAGTATGCCATGTATGACTGCTTTCTGGCACTATGGGACCCACAGTAGGAAAACGGAATATTGGGCCTCATCCCAAGCCTACTTCATCTTCTCTGCATCTGAACCAGATCCCAAGGGCACAAGTGTAAACCTGAGCTCAGAAGCCCTGCTTGGATACTTAAGTGTTTCCCTGCTTTTCTCTCAAGTAGTGCTGAAACAAAGACGAAATGCCACCACAGCTGGCATCAGTTCCCTTTAACAAGACAGTGTTAGCATGAAGGGTTGTTCAGTTTAAATCAACCCTGTAGACTTAGTCTCCTAGGACCACAGTTGCACAAATAGGAAAAAGAACGGATGTTGAGTCCTCTCCCTTTCGGTCCACTGACCGACACCAAGAGCTGCTTCATAAAGCTACAGCCTGATCAGGTCCTTTGCTCATCAGGGTTAGGGTTGAAAAGATGTTTGGAAGTGCTCTAAATCTTATTCGTTATCTGTAGGGATGTTAAAGTGTGTACACCAGCAGCTTATCCCTTTGAAGTATTTGTGTTCATTTTTCTCTTGAAATAAATATCAATAATTATAAATTATTAAAATGTGATTTTAATGTTTTA